GATGAACCGGGAATTGGATGAATGGCATGCTGCAACAATTTTCGACCGCGTGGTGGGATTGTGTACTAAGTCTGTGCGGGTGTATATAGCAGCTGTAAGATTATGGGAGAAACATGTCCGTCTGTCCGCTTCGTTTTCTTGTTTTAAACGTGGAGGTGGTTCGACTCCAACAGAAACACTGTTGGGAACAGTGTACAGATCGGTCCACTGTTTCGACTACTCCCCCAATAACGCTTTATTTTGAGAAGTCGTTATATGAATAACTGTAGAAAAGTGTAAGGCATTTAACAGTGGGCAGTGGTCATTTATATCAAGTTTACTTGTTTGTTTATTTATTTTTGTTTTTATTTCAGCTACAGAGCAGATAAGTGGAATGTGGCAAGTGGGAAAAGAAGCGGACAATTCCCTTTGAAGGTCATTCTTAGTAGGTTGGCTCAAAGGCGATCGGTGCGTCTAACAAAAGACGAGTGTCGCGTTATGTGAGCGTCGCCACCGCGACTAAGTGAGAACGCGCTAAGATAGGCATGCAGTGTTATTAAACGATTTGATTGGTGAACAAATCTCTTTTATCTCTGTAAAACACTTGCCCTGTGCATATAACAATAAATCAGCAAAACACATATCATATTATAATGGATTCCAAACATATTGGAAATGGAGCGATAGGTTGAATAAACGCTTGATGGCTTTTCCATTATTAATAATGCACTTTTTAACATAATTTTGAAATTTTTTTTTCTTCCAAAATGTTGTTCTTGCTAATTTTATAAATTTTAAAAATTTTTATATTTCTTTTTCATCATTTAAACGCTGCTAAAAAATAAACGCGCTTAAGCGAATATCCAACACTGTAATACGCAATGTATATATATATATATATATATATATATATATATGTGTGTATATGTATGCATGGATGTGTATGATGATTTTTTAGGTGGTTTAACGGCAATTTCAATGAAAAATTATTTATAATTTCAAGTGTTTTTCATATCGTATTTCATTTTTAGTTTTCACTTTTTCTCTTTGTTTTTATCCATTTTCCGAAAAACTACTAAGAGCGTGTAATCAATTACGAATAAAAAAATTGAATAAATAAATAAGATTTAAAAAAAAAAAAAAAAAACCCTATAGAAAATAAAAGCCAATTTTTTCTCTTTTGTGAACTAAAATGCATAAACACATGTTGTTGTATGCATTTGTTAGTTGACTGTTCATTTAGATTAAGCCTTTACTACCGACATTTATAAAATAATTACGTTTGTTTTATTAATTTTTACTGTTTTTTTGTTTCTTGGCTTTCTCGTTTAAACTCATTTTGTTTCAAATGTCATTTA